TGACTCCAACTCCTTGCACATTTTATTGTAATATTTTGCTTTGTCATCCCGTGCTGCCTTTTGAAATCTTCTATTCAACTCTTTAGTATCTTGAAATTTTCCTTGTGCTTTGGCTTCCCTGCGCTCCAGTGCAATTTTCAGAGCCTCTTCTAGAGCTAAGGAAGAGGATATAGAAGATTTTTACCAACTTTTATAATCAGAGATCGATCGAACATGCAATCAAGATGCATTGATAATAATGGGTGACTGGAACACAAAATTTGGGAACAGAGAAGAAGATTCAGTAGTTGGCAAACATGGACTCAGTGACAGAAATGCAGCTGGAGAGAGAATGATTGAATTTTGCACAATGACTTATTCATAGCAAATATATTTTTTAAGAGACATAAACGCAGGTTATATACTTGGATTTCACCAGATGGTATGCATGGGAATCAGATTACATCTGTGGAAAGAACCGCTGGAGAAGCTCAATATCAGCTGTGAAAACTAGGCCAGGAGCTGATTGTGGAACAGACCACCAACTACTCATATGCAAGTTCAAGCTGAAGCTGAGGAAAATTAAACTAAATCCAAAGCAACCAAAATATGACTTTGAGTCTATCCCACCAGAGTTTCAGAACCATCTCAGGAACAGGTTTGAGGCCTTGAACACTAATGAGCGAAGACCAGATAGATGAGTTGTGGGAGGATATCAAGGGTATCATCCAGGAAGAGTGCAAACGGTCATTGCAAAGAGAGAAGAGGAAGAAAAGACCAAAATGGATGTCAGAAGAGACTCTGAAAATTGCAAGTTCATCCTAGAGAGGGTGAAACCAGGCTGGTCCTTGGAGGCAAGAATTCTGAAGCTTCATCTGACATACTTTGGGCATGTTTCAAGAAGGGACCAGTCCTTGGAGAGGGACATCATGCTTGAAAAGGGAGAGGGACAATGCTAGAGAGGCAGACTCAACAACACATAACAACAACAACATGCCGTGTTTGTTATCTTTGCTCTTGGGAGGAGATTAAAGGAGGGAGAAGGGCTACCTGATATTTAAAATTTGTATAAATCCTGAATTTTAAACACATCTGGTAGAAGAGGGAAAAACTTCATTTCACACCAACCTGGGATAGGTTCAAGTCATTATTCAACTATTACGTTCATTTCAAAGCCAGAGATCACCTGCATTTATCTTGAGTTTTCTTGTTAGGAGCCCTTGAGTCAATTCCAACTCGTACTGACCCTTTTATAACGAAGTGAAACATTGTGTCATCCTGTATGATTCTCACAATTATTATACTTGAGGCCTTTGTTATATTGTGTCGGTCCATCTCATGAGGGTCTTGCTCTTTTCCACTGACACTCTGTTTTACCAAGGATAATGTCCTTCTCCAGAGGCGGGACCTTCTTGATAACATGCTGAAAGCACAAGAGGTGAACTCTTGCCACCTTTGCTTTGAAGGAACATTCTGATTGTACATCTTTTAAGATAGATTTGTTAATTTTTCTAGCAGTGCATATTCCTCACTAACATCATAATTCTAAGTCATCAATTCTGGCTATTGAAAGTACCACGGCTTTATTCTTTAAAGTGACTTATTTGCTTTTTAATATTTTAAAGGTACCTTTTTTATTGTGTTATTTTTATGTATATCATCAAATCAGATCTGAGTGGTACAGGAGGAGATTGCCCCCTCCTTCTCCAGCAGAGCATCTGGTGGATTTGAACTGTAAAGGTCCCTTTTGAAGCATATTTGTCCAACACAACACATTATTTGATTTTTTGATCGCTGTCTTCTCAGTGGTTGATTGTGGATCCAAGTAAAATGAAATTCTTGGCAATTTGAGTACTTTCTACATTTTCATAATGTTGCTCATTGGTCAAGTTGTGAGGATTTTTGTCTCGTTTATGTTGATGTAGGATCAATTCTGAAGGCTGTAGTAATTGATGTTCAAGTCTCCTTCACTTTCAGCAAGTAACATTGTGATATTTGCCTATAGCAAGTTGTTATTTTATCTTCTTCCAATCCTGATGGTGCATTCTTTTTCATATATCAAACTTTGGGATTATTTGGTAGGCAGATAGACTTGAGTAAGTATGATGAGATAATACACTCCTGATGTACACCTTTTCTCGTGTTAAGCCCTGTAATATCCCTTTGTTCTGCTCAAACAACTGCCTCTTGGTCTAGGCTCTGCATGGGCACAATTAAGTGTCTGGACCCTCATTCTTTGTAATTTGTTGTGATCTGGAGAGTCAAATACCTTTTCATAGTAATTTTTTCATTTTCAGCTTTCAGCAAAGATCCACTTGATGTCATCAACTGACATCCTTTGTTCTATCCCCCTTTCTGAATCCAGTTTGAATTTCTGACAGTTCTCTGTCAAGGTATTACTACAATTGATTTTGAATTACTTTTATAAAAATTTTATTCAAACGTGATATTAGAGATTGTTGTCCTTGTTGTTATGTGTTGTCCTTGTTGTTATGTGTTGAGTCACTTGTGACTCATAGCGACCCTATGTACAAGAGCCCTAAACCCTACTCTATCCTGTGCCAACCTAATTGTCTCTGACACACCTACTCCCATTACCCCAATCACTGAATTGATCCATCTCATCGAGGGTCTTCCTCTCCTGTGCTGTCCCCCCACCCTCCCAAACCCCCCTCTCTAAGGACTGGTCCTTCCTTGCAACATGCCCAAAGTATGTCAGACGAAGCTTCAGAATTCTTGCCTCCAAGGAGAAGCTCGATTTCACCCTCTCCAAGATGAAAACAGTTTGTTCTAGCAATCCATGATATATTCAACACTTTCCCCCAGCACTACAGCTCAAAGGCATAAATTATTTTTCTATCATCTCTAGTCACTGTCCAGCTCTCTGACACATAGCACACAATTGCGAAGACTATGGCCTGGATCAGGCGCACCTTAGTCTCCAGCCTGATGTCATTGCTCTTCAGTACTCTGGAGAGGTCCCTGACAGCTGACTTTCCCAATGCAATTTTTCTCTTGATTTTCATTTGATTATTGTTCCGGTCAGTCAGCCAGGTCTTGGCATAGATAAATGAGATAGTTGAACATTTCTAGAGTTGCATTTGTTTTTTTGAAACATTTCAATGAGTATTTCAACAATTCCTGGAGTTTTGTTGTAGCCAAGCCTTATTCAGCTTGGATATCAGCCTGTAATATCACTGGTTTTGAACATATGCTACCTCTAGAAATGATTGAATGTTGACCAATTCTTTTTCATACAATGACTCTTTATGCCTTTCATTTCTTTTGATGCTTTCTCTATCATTTGATATTTTGTCAATAGAAACCTTGTATGTTGCAACTTGAGGCTTGATTTTTTAAATTTCGTTCTTACAGCTTGAGAAATACTGAGTATATTTTTCTCTTTTGCTTTTCTAATTCCAGGTTCTTGCACACACATTTGTTTATAAAGCTTTCCTTCTTTTTGAGCTGACCTTTAAAATCCTTCTGTCCAGCTTCCTTCATTATTTCTTCTATTCACTTTAGCTACTCTGCCTTCTGATAGCTTTCTCTTCTTTAAGTTTTGGTTCATACAAAGCTTGAGGGTTGGACTTTTGAGTTTGGCTTCCCTGATAAGTTCTTAAATCCCTCCTTTTCCCACAAATCACCTGACTTCTCCGAAAACTCTGTAACACACCCTTTGGCTGAAAAAGAGCATTGAGTAATCAGTGAAATTCCCCATTCCTCCTTTCTCCCCCTGCAGCCCTAAATCATGAAATCTCTAGTCTGGGAAGAAGATCGAATTCTTGTTTCAAAAGCAGAGGGAGCTCCAGGATCAAGACTGAGTTACTCTTCCCCTAAGTCATGGTCTCCCAGCCCCCTCTTTGTTTAAGTCAGGGAATTTCAGACATGCCCACTCTGTAGAGAATCATCTGCACAGAACCAGGACAGGGAGGCCAGCGGAGGTTCCTGCAGAGGGATCGTCCAGGCCCTGCACCGCTCTGCTGGGAGCCAGCAGGGTCACCCAGCATGCCCACTGGCCCACTGGTTCCCATCAGCTTCTGAAGGTAAAAGCCTTAAAGATGAAAGTCAGAGCTTTAACTTAAGTAAAGAGACAGGAAACTTCATGTAGGAAAGTGTGGGACAAAGATGGGAAGATTTAGGACAAAAATGGGAAGGTTTAGGGCAAAGACGGCAGGGCGAAAGGAAACAGAAGAAAGAGAATCTCTCTTAGGTTGACCTAATTCACTTCTGTAACATCCCGCTACCTACCACTGTTTCCCAGATTAAATAATTTTGGCAAGACTTTTCTAGGAACTAGGGAAAGATTTTTGTTTTTCCAATAAAGTAGTAGGGGAATCCTATAAAATTAATATAAGAAATTGGGAGAATGTATTTTTTTTCGGGCATACTTAATATTTAAGTTCTTTTTAAATCTTTTGCATATTTTTGTGCTTTTTACCACTCAGCTGCTCCCTTTCTCCTCTCCCACCCAAACATGTCTCAGTGGGAGGAGGAAGCATCTTCCTGCACCAATGGTGATGGAAACATCATCAGAAACACATGCAATAATCAACATCTTAAGGAGCTGGTTTGAAGTGACATGGAGATGCATTGTCAAGAAAAGAGAGAGGGCAGTCCTTGATGACTGATGATGTTGGGCAAAGATTCCTGAAAATTTGGATTGATCTGAGGCTGTTGTCCTGCGTAGGTGGGAGAGAGGCCGAGAGAGCAGAAGGGGAGTTGAACAAAGGAGGAAGGAAACTGGGCAAAAGTGTACATGCTCTTGGAGAAAAAGCAAAAGCCAGAGAAGGTCCAGAGAAGCAATGAGAGAAGGATAAGTTTTCATTTTAGTCGGAGGATTTACTTGAAGTAGGTTCAAGGGTCGCTATGAGTCGCAGGCGACTCGACGGCACATAACAACAACAACAGGTTCAAGGAGGGTGTGAAAAGGTAACTGTGTCTTTGGTGGTGCATGATGACGTGATTCTGCTTACTCTGTGTGTTATTCTGTAGGTGTCACTGAACCCCAGGTGACTCCTCACCGCCAAAGCGTGTGCCTGTGTTTGTTAGACAAATACAACCAGGGTCGCCACTTCTTCAGCTCCAAAGTCCAGAGGTGCAGAGATCCAAGACCAAGAGGCTGCTCACCAGTGTCTGACAACTCGCCAGAGATGTGGTAAGTGAGCAAGAGTCTACAAACATGTGCATGGATGTCACTCTCTTCATCTTCTGGAGGAAACTTTTCAGATTTGAAGCTTGGATTTGGATTTGACCCTAGGCCTTTTGACTTTATTTCAACCTAGGAATCAACCAGAGGTCACTCATCTCTATGCTTTCTTCTTTTTTTTTTTTAGGTGCATTGTTCTGTTTTCCCTTTTGGCATGGGTTTATGCTGAGCCTACCATGTATGGGGAGATTCTGTCTCCTAACTACCCTCAGGCATATCCAAATGAAGTAGAGAAAACTTGGGATATAGACGTTCCTGAAGGGTATGGGATTCACCTCTACTTCACTCATCTGGACTTAGAGCTATCAGAGGACTGTGCATATGACTCAGTGAAGGTATATTGTGAGCACATGGATATTAGAGACAAGAGAAGAGAGTTGGAATGGTAGGATAGAGGAGGGTAGGATGAGAGCGCCACAGGCTGCTCTAAACTTTAGCTGGATCAGTGGAGAGTGCCACCGTTAACTGGAGTATAACAGTCTTAAGATTGCAAAGGATATTCTTTTTCCATCTATTTGTCTCTGACTTCTATATGCAAATAGTACCTTCTCCTACTCTGTTTTTCTTTTTTATTGTGATAAATATATGTAATAAAATATTCACCATTTTAATAGTTTTGCGTGTACATGTCAGTAGGGTTAGTTACATTTGTCATGTTGTCCAACAGTCACTATTGACTAGTTCCACATTTGCATCACCCTTAAAAGAAGGGCAGTGACTCCCCAGTTTCTTTTTTGACTCTTCTGTTAGATAATGGCAAGGGACTTTGAAGAAGGAATACTCTGTGGACAAAGGACCAGCAAGAATCCCAATTCCCCTATTGTGGAAGAGTTCCAAGTCCCATACAATAAACTCCAGGTGATCTTTAAGTCTGACTTCTCCAATGAGGAACGTTTCACTGGATTTGCTGCATACTATGTTGCCGTAGGTATGAATTTCTGTTCTCTCTGTTACCAATCCAGCTAAAAGTTTAGAAGCAGGAGAAGCAATGAGCAATGCAATGAATAAGGATTCTGTTTATAATTTTTATGAAGTGTTGACCTGACCTGTGCTCCTCTCTGAATCACTTTGGTCAAATTAAAACATATGATCATACGTTAGTGATGATGAGGACATAATAAATAGTAATTAAATTTTAATACATTGGACAAACTTACACTTGACTTATATTACAACTTGTGTCTAAATATACAGACTTCTCAGATCTTTGAATTATTATCATCTCCATTTAAAGATAAGGAAAGTGAAGACCAGAAATGTTAAATTACACATTTGTAATAAACAACATAGTTAATGCATGCTATTCAAATGAATTCAATATATAGCATTTTAACTTTCAAATTCCATGTGTGTCTACAGATCCTTCCTGGTTAAAATGAAGTTAGAACATTTCATAAAGTCAAATTATTATCTAGGTTGGAAGGAAGTATCAACATCAAGCAAAGTCTCATCAAACCAGACCTGTCGTTATTGAGTCAACTCTGACTCATAGTGACCCTCTTTTGGGTTTCTGAGGCTATAAAGCTTTATGGGAGGAGACTGCCCATCTTTATCTTGTGGAATGATTGATGGATTCAAACTTCCAGTCTTTCAGTGAGCAGCCTGATACTTTATGCACTACACTATCAGGACTCCTTATACAAAGGGCTCGATGTACTACTTGTCTCTCCTTGCAGAAGACATCACTATCATGCTCACTCTGAAGGATGTTGTCTCTGGAGCGGCAACATTCTGTATGAGTCAAGGGTCTATGGTTTTGAGAGTTCCTATATAGATATGCAATGGCAGGGCACAATTCTGAAACTTTGTTTTATAAAAGTAATATATGAAAATACAATTCTAAAGAATGGTTCCTTAAGGTCTTTATGAAACAAGTATTTCTTATGTTCTCTTGCCCTTGTAATTTTGTGTTTCATTTAATTCATGTAGGTTTTTGTCTTCAACTTTAGTCTTTCTTTGCTTTTTGTAGATATAAATGAGTGCACAGATTTTTCAGATGTTCCTTGTAGTCACTTCTGCAACAACTTTATTGGTGGTTATTTTTGCTCTTGTCCCCCGGAATACTTCCTCCATGATGATGGGAAAACTTGCGGAGGTGAGCTTGGCATCTGGAAGAGTGCAGAGCTCCTGGAATTTGAAATAACTGAGGGCTTAGTAAGGGCTTTGTCCATCCTTTAATTTTCATTTGTCTTGATTTGTTTTGAGTTGTAAGTTTTCCATGAACTGTAAGGGAACCATAAGAGGAGAAAAAGACAAGGCTAGTGGGCAAAGTTAGATTACTGGGGAGAAGAGTCCATCTGGAACTGCTTGTAACCTTGAAAGCTTCTACCACAACAAGTAAAGTGATGAAAATTCAATTGATATTGACTATCTTTAGGCAGGGTATGGATGGATTCCAAGCTGGTCTGAATGGAGGATTATCAGTTCATGGGAGAAGGAATCTTAGGGAAATCTTTTGCTTGATCCTACATTTGATCTCCCTACCCCCTTTTTTTTGCCTCCCTTAGTCAATTGCAGTGGAGAGGTGTTTACTACACCAATTGGGGAGATTGCAAGTCCCAATTACCCCAGTCCATACCCAGAAAACTCAAGATGTGAATACCGGATCCAGTTGGAGGAGGGGTTCCAAGTGGTTGTGACTATTCAGAGAGAAGATTTTGATGTGGAACCAGCGGATTCAGAGGGCAATTGCCATGACAGTTTAGTTGTATGTGGTGAATGGTTAACTTTTTCCTCAACTTGACTGCAGAGATTTCTCCTCGAAGACGAAATGATCTTTTCTTTTGCTCCTTATTTTCCTTTACATCTATTACTTCCATTATTTTTTATTGCCTCCTTTTTATCTCTATCAATTCTTTCTGTCTCACATCTGATTTTATAATTTTGTTTCCTTCCAGTTTGTAACAAGAGATCAGAGATTTGGTCCTTATTGTGGTAATGGATTCCCTGGGCCACTGAATATTGAAACCAAGAGTAACGCTCTTGACATCATCTTTCAAACCGACCAAGAAGAACAAAAAAAGGGCTGGAAACTTCGTTATCGTGGAGATCGTGAGTGACCTAGAACTTGCATTTCTGGTGGTACCACAGTTCCTGGACAGCATAGAAAACTCAGCTTGTTACTTCTCACCTTCATTACTTCTTCCCAGAAAGATCTAAGCCTACCAGGGGTTTCTAGAGATGCTATGTCATATGCTGTCGAGAGTGACCCTGTGAACAACAGGTGTGCACCTTGCCCCATTCTGTGCCATCCTCACCATCTGACACATTTGGGCCCACTGTTACAGTCACTGTGTCAAACCATCTTGTTTAGGGACTTGTTCCTCATGCTGATCCTCTAACTTTCTAAGTATGATTTGCTTCTGGGCTTGCTGAGCCTGTGCTACTTCACTGAGGGAGCCCTGGTCAGTCAGAAATGCTATAGCCTGTAGGCATCCTTCAATGATTGGGGTGCAGACAGTTTAGGGGTGATTAGATAGTAATGCTGTCACTATGAGTCATGGTTGTCTCAGTGACATTGAATAACAACAAGCACAAGTCGTATTTCAGTGTAAAGAGGCAGGGTTGAGAGCAACTGAGAGATTTCAGAAAGTGTAAAGATGGTGTAAATAGAATAGAGATTCTCCAACTAACCAAGTAACTTTATTTGTTTTTTCCCCCGTTTTAACTTGTGTCTTCTCCAAGCAATCCCTTGTCCTAAGACATCAATTGCTAATGCTGTTCGGGAGCCTGAGAAGGCAAAATATGTGTTTAAAGATATGGTGAAAATAACCTGCCTAGAGGGGTTTGAAGTTGTGGAGGTAAAGTACTGTAATGCTTCTTCTCAATGTATAGTTTCTGGTTAAGATGAGCATATTGGAGATGTTCAATTGTTTCCCCAAGCAGAGCAAGTCACATCTTCAGCCTTTCCTTGTGAGACATGGAGCTTCTTGGCTAGTTGAACATTCTCTTTCTGCTTCAAGTCTTTCTGGGAAAGGGGAGCTGATATGCTGGGACAAATTTGTCTTTCAACCCAAGATCTTACGTGACTTGGATCACTCTGCTAAGATGTCCTCAAGCATCTTGTGATGAGAACACCTTAGTGGTCCAAAGACAGTGATAGATTCCATGTTAGTGTTTTTTTTTTTAAAAAAGACATTTATTTTTAAAATTTTATTATTTGTGCGTGTGTGTACCATCAAATTGAATCTGACTGGTACAGGAGAAGATTGCCCCTCCTTTTCCAGCAGAGCATCTGGTGGATTTGAACCGCATACCTCTGGGGTTGCAGTGCAGCTCTTTGCCACTAGGCCACCAGAGATCCCTTCCATTTTAGTTTTTGTTCCCTTTATGTATCGTTCTAAGTTAACGATGATATCTATTATTCTCCAGGGAAATGTTGGCTCATCCTTTTTCTACTCTACTTGTCAAAGCAATGGAAAGTGGAGTAAGCCCAAACTGAATTGTCAACGTATGTATCTCTTAAAAGTGGTGGTTTTAAAATGTTTTCTTCTACAAAGGGAACTGAAAGGTTCAAATGTAAGATTTCCTCTTGGACTCTTGAGAGGACAGTTGTATGTCTGAAGGGAACCCAGTTACTGAAGTTTCAGATTGGTCCCAGACCATCCAGACCAATAGGCTTCTTCCAAAGAGAGGACTGTGGGATTGATGATTGCACGTGGATGCATTCCTGGCTTCCCTGGGGGAACTTCACCAACTACTGAGAATCAGGTTCCACCTAGCAGCCTTAAAGGGAACTGGCAGGTTTCAGTTGTCTGTAGAGTTGAGTGATGCTGCTGGGAGATCACGACAAGGAAGGTGGGGTGGGGAGAGTCATCCTGCATGTGCGGTGGGAGAGGAGTAAGGAACAGGACTGGAGGGTGGAATGGGCCCCATGACTCTTTCTGAGAGAGAGTGGCTTCCCTGACCATCACTCTCCTGCCTTCTTCTTGTAGCTGTGGACTGTGGTGCTCCGGAACCCATCCGGCATGGTAGAGTTGAAGAACCAGAAGATACTTTATTTGGTTCTGTCATTCACTACACTTGTGAGGAGACATATTACTACATGGAAAATGAAGGAAGTGGTAGGTTTCTTTCCCTGTAGGAAAGAAAGGGGTCAGTAGAGTAAATTGTATTATTTTTCTGAGATGGAAAGAATTCAGAGATGGGAGGGACATCTGTTTATCCTCTTGGTTTAGTCTAAGGACACAGTTTCCATATGGAACAGAGTAGGATTTCTGGGAATAACCATGGGGATCTTAGAGATCATTTGACTCAGTATCATAGCCAGTGCAGGAAAACTTTCCTGTAATATCCATTTCATGTAGCCATATAACTTTTGGCAAATTATTTAATGAAAAGACCATAGGATTAATGCTTCCAGTTTCAAGTCACCATACTAGGATGACTGACCTTGGCAGTGTTGGATGAAGGGTTCAATGAGATACAATAGGTCTCATTACATCGCTTAGCATTTTATTTTGTTTTTTTCCTACTTGTAGCACTCTCTAGATTTCTACTGTATTTCTTCTTTCCCTTTTGGGACTCTTTCTTCCTCTGCATTGGCAAGATAGAAGCCAGGGAGGTTTTTTGAAGGGTTGTTATTGTTGTTATGTACAACAGACCTAAACCCTCCTCTATCCTGTGCCAATCACACTGCCTCTGACACACCCATCCCTATTACCCCAGTCACTGAGCCAATCCACCTCATAGAGGGTCTTCCCCTCCTGTGCTGTCCCTCCACCCTCCCAAGCATGATGTCCCTCTCGAAGGACCGGTTCCTCCTTACAACATGTTCAAAGTATGTCAGATGAAGCCCCAGAATCCTTGCCTCCAAGGAGCAGCCCGGTTTAACCCTCTCAAGCATGAATCTGTTTGTTTTCTTGGCAGTCCATAGTATATTCAATACTCTTCTCCAGCACCATAGCTCAAAGGCATCAATTCTCCTTCTATCCTCCGTAGTTATTGTTCAACTCTCTGATGCATAACAAGTGATTGCAAAGACCATAACCTGTATCAGATACACCTTAGTCTCCAGAGTGACACCATTGCTCTTCAGTACTTTGGAGAGGTCCTTAACAGCAGACTTTCCCATCGCAATATGCCTTTTAATTTCCTGGCTGCTGGTGCCAAGAGTGTTGACTGTGGAGCCAAGCAGACTAAAGTTGTTAACAGTCTCAATCTCTTCACCATCCATCCTGAAGCTGCCAATTGGTCCAGTGGTGAGAATCTTTGTCTTCTTGACACTGAGCCTCAATCCATACTGAAGGCTGCAGTCCTTGACCCTCTGCAGCAAGCACTTCAGGTCCTCCTCAGTTTCAACAAGCAGGTTTGTGTCATCTGCATAATGCAGATTGTTGATAGATCTTCCTCCATTCCTGACACCACGCCTGTCATAGAGCCCAGCCTCTCAGATAATCTGTTCTGCATACAGGTTGAAAAGGTATGGAGATAGGACACATCCCTGGTGAACGCCCTTCTGAATTTTGAACCATGGTTTCCTTGCTCTATTCTGGTGACTTCCTCTTTGTCCAAGTATAGGTTTTGCATTAGCATGATCACGTGCTCTGGGATTCCCATTCTTCTCAGAGTCAGCCACAGTTTGTTATGATCCACCCACACAAAGACCTTTGCATAACCAATGAAACACAGATATACATTCCTCTGGTATTCCCTGCTTTCAGCTAAGATCCATCTAACATCAGCTACAATATCCTTAGTACCATGACCCCTTCTAAACCCAGCCTGGACTTCTGGCAGTTCTCTGCTGATGTGCTGTTCCAGTCATTTTTGGATAATCTTCAGTAGAATCTTGCTTGCATGTGAAATCAATGATATTGTTCTATAGTTTCCACACTCTGTTAGGTCACCCTTCTTTGGAATGGGAAAAATATAGATCTCTTCCAGTCAGTTGGCCAAGTGGTTGTTCTCCAGATTTCTTGGCACAACTTGGTGAGCACATCCAGGGCAGCATCTGTTACCTCAAATATGTCAATTGGTATACCATCTATTCTTGGGGCCTTGTTTTTTGCAATTTCTTTCAAAGCAGCTTGCACTTCTTCTTTCATCACCATAGGCTCTTGCTTGTATGTTATTTCATTAAATTCTTCTGTGTCTGCCAATTCTTTTCAATACAGCGACTCAGTATTTTCTTTCCATCTTCTTTTAATACTTCCTGCATCATTTAATATTCTGCCTAAAGCATCCTTGATTATAGCAACTCGAGGTTTGAATTTGTTCTTCAGTTCCTTGAAGGGTAGGTGGAAGATAATCTTTATATATATTTTTTTAAATTTTTATTATTATTATTTTTGTGTGTGTGTACCATCAAATCAGATCTGACTGGTATAGGAGGTGATTGTTCCTCCTTCTTCAGTAGTGCATCTGGTGGATTTGAACTGCGCACCTCTGGGATAGAAGTGCAGCTTCTTGCCACTAGGCCACCAGAGCTCGCCAATCTTTGTATCTTTTTCTATCTGAATTAATGACATTGTTTTCAATCTCAGAGGAGCTGAGGTTCTGAAAGAAAGAAGGGAATGGAAGAGAAACGTCATGGTGGTGAGAGTATCCTGTGTCTCTTGTGCTGTTGCAGGGGAGTATCACTGTGCTGGCAACGGGAGCTGGGTGAATGAGGTGCTGGGCACAGAGCTGCCCAAGTGTATTCCAGGTAAGCAGGGCTCAGGGCCGGGCAGAGAGCTTCAGGTACAGGTGAGTGGGGTAGTCACTTTCTGAAAGTAGTTGTATTCTAGGGAAAAGAGTTAAGAATTCTGTCCCTGTCAGAGTCCAATTCAATGATGTGGAGACAACACTGGGATGTGAAACTGCCAGGGTCTTGGAGAATTCCCTCAATCACACTGCGTCAGGCTGAATGAAAGGAAATAGAAGTTAGCTTTGACAGCTGGCTTCAGAATCAGAGCCAGGGTGCTTGGAAAAGTGGATGAAGTATAAGAGGATGGAGAATTATTAAAAACAGGGCATGAGCTGAAAGTGAAGAATCAAACTCAGAAACAAAACTAGCTGAGCAGCGTGCTTATTATATTAAAATCTATGTGGTAACAAGACTCAGACCCATGGGGTTACAGACAGGTCAAAGTCAAGAAGAAGGCACTGGGGCAAAGCTAGAGAAAGAATGATTTTGGATAGTAGCGACAATGTTCCTGAGAGCTAGAGATTAAGATAATTTATTGTATTTATTATCTCCTTTGCAGTAATCTTGTGAGCTGCATGCTATTAGTCCCAGTAAAATAAAGTTGGGAGGACCAGGCTTTGAATACATGTCTTTCTGAATTCAAAACTCACATGTTTAATGCAGCCTATTCAGGCTGACTGATGAAGGAAACTCTGGTGGCTTAGTAAAGAACTGTGCTGCCAATTCACAGCAGGTGGTTCGAATCCACCAGCTGCTCTGAGGGATAGAGAAGGGCAATCTCCTCACCTGAGACTTACAACCTTTGAAAACCCGCTGAAGGGCACATAACAACAATGAAGGATTTAGGTAAACTATCTTCATTTGAAATAAAATTGCAATTCAGTTATACTTGGTAGGAGCTAAAGGATCATGTCAATGGTGAGGAAAGGCCAACGGGAAAGGAGAAGCCCCTTTCTTGGCCCTGCCCTGTAGGCTGGCCAGTGGGTTAAGAGAAAGCACTCCGCTCTGAACAGGGCTCAGAAAAGGAGGTGATGAGGTCTTGGATGTGGGCCTGGGAAGTATGTGGAATGCTTGCCTCCCTCAATGTGTGCATGAGGAAAGGCTGCCAGGCACTCTTTCCTGCACTGACTCCCTCACACTCTTGTGGCTCACGTGCGGAGTGTGGGGGTGGAGTGTACCTGTAGAGTCAAGCCGAGCAGTCAAGCTGCTGACAATGTCAGACACTTGCTGACTGAGTTAGCTTCTCCCGGGAGTTGGTTTGCGTCATTGGCTGAGGTAAGTCTTTAATCCTTAGGTGGAGACACAGTGAGTCAGGTACTGAGGGGGGCAGGTGCAGGGTTCGCTACATCAGGAGAACTCTGCAGACGTGGCAGTGTTAAGTATTTGAGTGGTATGAGGATTCGAAGGAGGCCAATTTCTATTTCTACACTTTCCGTCCTCCCTAGTGTGTGGAGTCCCCAGTGAGCCTTTTGGAGGAATACAGAAGATAATTGGAGGATCCAATGCAGAGATTGAGAATTTTCCCTGGCAAGTTTTCTTCTCAAATCCGTGGGCTGGTGGGGCTCTCATCGACGAATACTGGGTCCTGACAGCAGCCCATGTTGTGGAGGGAAATGAAGATCCAGTGATGTACGTTGGCTCCAAATCAGTGCGCACGACGCAACTGGTAAATGCACAGATGCTCACTACTGAGCGAGTAATTATTCATCCTGACTGGAAACCCGTGGGTGACTCAGAAACACGAAAGAATTTTGACAATGACATTGCACTAGTGCGGCTGAAAGAGCCAGTGAAAATGGGACCTAAAGTATCCCCTATCTGCCTGCCAGGCCGTAGCCCAGAATATAACCCTTCAGTAGGACAGCTGGGACTGATCTCAGGCTGGGGCCGAACAAAGCCTACTAAGGATCGAGTTCTCATACTCCAAGGGGCAAGGGTACCTGTAACTCTCTTATCCAAGTGCCAGGCGGTGAAGCCAAAGAACTTCAAAGTGGATACAAAGACCTTCGTTTTCACTGATAACATGATCTGTGCTGGAGGTGAAAAGGGGATTGATAGCTGTACAGGAGACAGTGGTGGGGCCTTTGCTGTACAAGACCCCAATGAAAAGACCCCCAGATTTTATGTAGCTGGCCTGGTGTCCTGGGGCCCTGAGTGTGGGACTTACGGGATCTACACAAAGGTGAAGAACTATATTGATTGGATAATGAAGACTATGCAAGAAAATAGTACCCCCAGTGTAGACTAGTCCGTCCATACATCTACCACTAGCGTCTCTAAGGAGCAATACCAATCTCCTGGATTGGTAGGACCAACCCATTGCTTTCAGATCCTTACAATATCCTTACCATTTCCGCCTCAATTGAGAGACTTGGGAGAATGATTTCACTTCATTGTCAGGATACTGGACTGGGCACAACACTTGATCATGTGTTGGTTTGGTCATGCAGTTGTGGTCTGAATCTGTGGAGACTTCACCCATGAGTACGTGCTAGAAGTAGAGATGAGAGGAGACCCTTATCTTGCCCTCTTCAACAGAGTTCTGTTTCCTTCCTGCCTGATGTTCCGGTTGATGACTGCCTGCTTCACGTTACAGTTCTGACTCTGAAATATATTGTTCAATTTTTTTATTTCTCCTGCACCTCTTTGCAGCTCCATTTATCACTTTTGGAGACAATAAAGCATGTTATAACTCATTCTGGCTGACTTGTTTTATGCTACGTCAAGAGCTCAGACCCAAAGAAAGAGATTGGGATGGGGCTGCTATTATATAGTGGAAATCCAGGCATTTGGTAGTTAATATTTGTCATGAAAATGAAGGGTTAGGTTTTCCTTTTCCTACTGATGATATTTACTAGCAGAGGGGATGTGAGAAATATTATGGATTAATGTGAACAACACAAGGTACCTGCATGTGAAGCTCATTAAACACACATGTCTTCACTGATGGGCCCATGTGCAGCAGTTAGAATTTAGCGGTATAAGAGCTTTACGTTGGATTGTTGAAGTACAAATTGTTTCCATATGTCACCTGAAAGTTGTCCTTTGGTGCTTATTTGTATAATGCAACATTATGACTGAACACTAATGAAAAAGAATAGGAATAGAAATTCAGCAATCCCTTATGTGGTTTCTTGGTTGTTTTGGTAAGTTTGTCAGTCAGGCTACAATATTATCTCTGGATTGAATGCTGCACCACACCAAGATGCTAGAGCCAAATATTCAGCAGGGATGACGCTAAAGACTCTTCTATTTTCTATGAGAAAGGAAAGGAAAAGAATCGTCTTTTTTTGAAAGAATTAGAGATGAGAAGTGAAGATAGAATTGTGGTTGTTATGTGCCGTGGAGTTGGACCCTCCAGCTGATCCTCCAGCAGGTTTTCAGAGGAGGCACAGGAGAAGACCACCCATCCTTCTGTGGAGTAATTGGTGGATTAAGAACAGCATGCTTGCGGGATTGGAGCTTCTTGTCATTAGGCCATCAGAGCTCCCTGACTATCGAATTGTTGTGTACCATCGAGTTGGAACTGACTCATAGCTGGCCCTTTATGAGTATAGAAGAGAGATCAACATTTTTTTTCTTTTTCTTTTTTAATATGGAATGCTTCACGGATTTGCGTGTCATCCTTGTGCAGGGGCCATGCTAATCTTTTCTGTATTGTTCCAATTTTAGTATATGTGCTGCCGAAGTGAGTACAAGAGATCAGCATTTTAAAAGCTTAGGAGAATAGAGCTATTTTAGGGTGAGGATGGGAGTAATTGTCTTAACGGGTGTCTTAGAAAAGCTAAGATCTGAGAGTAATGAATAATTCTAGGATGTTCTGGGGACTCTGCCTATTTGATTCAACCTATTTGATTCAGGTGCATGTGTAGGTTTTGCATAAGCAAAATCAAGTGTTTTGGGATTGCCATTCTTCTCAGAGTTAGCCACAGTTTATTGTGATGCACAAAATGAAATTCCTTTGCATGGTCAATGAAACACAGATAGACATTGCTCTGGTACTCTCTGCTTTCAGCTAAGATTCATCTAATATTGGCTATACTATCCATAGAGCCACGACCGCTTCAAAATCTAGCCTGCACGTCTGGCAGTTTTCTGTCGATGTGTTGTTCTGGTCTTTTTTGGATAATATTCAGCAGGGTCTTATTTGCATGTGATATTAGTGATATTGTTTGATAATTTCCACAGTCTGTTGGGTCCCCTTTTTTTGGAATGGGAACAAATATGGATCTCTTCCAGTCAGTTGGCTAGGTGGTTGTCCTTCATATATCTTGGCACAACCTGGTGAGCACATCCAGGGCAGCATCTGTTTGTTGAGATATTTTTTGCCAAAATCTTTCAGAGCAGCTTTAAACTTCCTCCTTCATCACTATAGGCTCTTGATAACATGTTGTTTCATGAAATTCTTCTGTGTCAGCCAGTTCTTTTTGGTATAGTGACTCTTGTGTACTCCTTTCATCTTCTTTCTTTAATTATTATTTTATTTCTTTATTTTTACTTGTTCATCAAGGAGGGACCAATTCTTGGAGAAGGACGTCATGCTTGGGAGGGTGGAGAGACAATGCAGGAGAGGAAACTCTATGAGGTGGATTGATTCAGTGACTGGAGTAATGAGGGTAGGTGTGTCAGAGACAGTGAGATTGGCACAGGATAGAGCAGGGTTTAGGACTGTTGTACATAGGGTCGCTATGAGTTGCAGTTTACTCCATGGCACATAATAAAACAACAACAACAACATCAGAGCTCGCTTTATTCTTTTTTGAAACTTTCTCTTTCTACTTTGATATTCACTACTGTCAGACATACATTTTTTTTGTTTTATTTAAATTTATTATTAATTTCAGTAAAAATTTACAGAGACTTTGGATTTCCATTCATTTATTGTTGTACTTTTCTTCCCTACCAACCCTTCCCTCTAGTACACTATCCTCTTGGAAAAGTAGAAGAAAAATTCTTTCATTGTTTTACAAACCCTGCCCCAGGTCCACTCTACCATTTAGCCTTTGCTCTAGACTCCTGTCATGTAAAAAATATCTAATCACATATCCCTTTTAAACAGTTTTCTCCCTCATCTGTTTCAATGCAGTATACATTATTGAACCCATCTTTCTCAGTCTTCCCGCCCTCCAACCCCAAGGTCAGTCCTGTTTTACAACAGTGGCACCAAGCAGTATTTGTCCTTTTGTGACTAAGATACTTCACTCAGCATAATGTCCTCCAGAGTCACACATTTTGAATAATATTGCATGAGTTCCTTGTTTTTCAATGCAGCATAGTATTCCATTGTGTGAGTATACTGCAGCTTCTCTATCCATTCGTTTGTTGATGGGCACTTAGGTTGCTTCCAACTCCTTGCTATTGTGAACAAAGCCTCAATAAACATGGGTGTGCATATATCTGCTTGGATGTCAGTTATGGTCTCTTTGGTGTATATTCCCAGTAGTGGAATTGCTGGGTCCAATGGTATCTCTATTTGCAACTTTTTGAGAAAGCGCCATACTGTCTTCCACAGTGGTTGCACCATTTTACACTCCCACCAACAGTGAATAAGGGTTCCAGTTTCTCCACAACCTCACCAGCATTTGTTGCTTCTTGTTCTGTTAAATTTTGCTATTCTGACTGGGTGAGATGATATCTCATAGTTTTTTACAGACATACATTTTTTTTGGGGGGGGTTAATGTTTATACTCATTTATTTATTATCAACACACATATCCTGCTAGGGGAAATCACTCTATGATTAATTTGGACTATTTTATTATTTTTTAATTTTATTGAGATTTTAATGAAAGTTTAAAGAGAACTTGGATTTCCATTCATTCCTCCCTGCCCTCCTCAGTTCGCTTTTCTTTTAGAAATTTTTTTTTCTCATTGTTGTACAATTCCCACCCCCACTCGAGTCCACTTTACTATGCAGCTCTTATTCTGGGCTGTTATCATGCAAATAATACCTAATCATATGTTTCTTCTAAGCAGTTTTTCTCTTCATCTGTTTCTTTTTTAAAAAAAAATTAATTTTAATGAAAGTTTACAGACACTTTGGATTTCCATTCATTGTTGCATTTTTCTCCCTGCCCACCGCCCCCCCCCCCCCACCCCCGGAGTTAGCTCTTCTCTTTGAAAAGTAAAAGAAAAATTCTGTAACTGTTATACAATCCCTCCCTCCATGTCCACTCCATTGTGTATCCTTCATTCTGGACTCCTGTCATGACAATAACACCTAATCATATATCCCTTTTAAACAGTTCTCTCCCTCATCTGTTTCAATACAGTATACGTTATTTATCCCTGCTTTCTCAATTTCCCCTCAACTGTTGTGGCTCTTATTTCTCAACATATATAACTAATAGTGAGATTGCTGGATCATATAATATTTCCATTTCCAACTTTATAAAGGAGATGCCATAGGCTTGTCCATAGCAGTTATACTGTATGAGAGTTCTAATCTTTCCTCACCTTCCCAACATTTGTTGTTTTCTGTCCTTTTGAACTTTGCTACTAATGCAGAGGTGAGAAGATAACTGGTTGTATTGATTGCTTGGAAAGGTTTTAACCCTTCTTGAATTCATGCCTGTGTGTGTTGGCTCATGCATAATTGTTCATACAAGTCCAGAACAGTCAGTTGTACAATAATAGTGTTTTATTCTCAAACATAACATAGTTTATGAGATTATTCTGTGATAAATGTTTATTTCAAAGTTTGGATCTTTTTCTGATCTTTTAATATATGTTAAGAACTAAAGATTATTTAAAATTTTTGTTAGTGATTCAATTTAGAAACAAAATGTTCACAAAACCCCTCTTTTGAGAAATAGAGTTTTGAAGGTGAATGTTAAGTGCTGTCAAATTGATTCTGTCTCATAGCCGCTCTGGAGTATAAGGTGACCTGAACTCACAGGTCTGAGTGCTCAAGTCTGCTTTCACCTCACAATATCTGCTGTGCTTAAATCCATTATTGTAGTCACGGTGTCAATTAATCTCACTGAGAATCTTTTCCTTTTCTGACTCCTGACAACTTGCCCACAGTAGATGAGACAAAAATGAGAGGTTAAAATGAAAACAGTTGTTCTGTTTACAAAGGGAGCTCTGGTAGCTAAGTGGTGAAGAATTGTCCTGCCAACTCAAAGGCATGTAATTTGAATCTACAACCTCTTCCAAGAGAAAGCTGGGTAATTCCCTCCTGTGCAATTTACAGCCTCTGAAAATCCACTGGAGGGCCAGCTATGAGTTGATTCTGACTTGATGGCA